TGTGGATCTTGATTTTTGACGCTGTGTATGTGTCGAAGCTCCCTTGGTATTTTTCATTCATTTATGTGTAATGGTTATAATGATGCCTGATGCTTATGAACGCTATGATCGACTATGCACTGCGATCGGCAGTGTTGATCTGTCTATTTGATCAACTTTGTCTCTTTCTATTTTCGATATAGTCTTTTAAACTTCGAAGACTAATTTTTATGCGGTTATGATAGACGGTGATAGACCGTGGGCCAACAGTGATTATTGTATTATTGTATAAATTTGTTTGATACTTCATGAAAATAGAATAATCGGAACATATAAATCAACTGCACTGAATTGCACTGAGTGACTATATGCTCGTTGATTTATATGCTCTGGCGTAACAATAAAGTTGTTCTATCGGTCGTTCTGGTTGTACACACGAGCACACAAATAACAAAACATGGGTCAACAGTAATTGTTGTATGAATTTGGTTAATACTTCATGGAACTAGGCATGAATCTGGATATTATATAATTATATTATCCTGATAATTGGTAATAAATTTTCACATTCAATTCTTTTCATTTCAAATTATGGTATATTATTTTATGACGTATGCGTTTTAAATATTTCATTTTAGTTTTTCGCTAAAATGGTAAAATTCGGCTAATGGGTAGCTCTATGCGGAGCCCTAACCAAACACGGTGCTCCATTCCAGCAAAATGGCAGCCCCCTCAGAGTGCGTATAAGACGAGTAAATATGTATAAAAATCTGTGTGGTTTTGAGCTTACTTTAATACAGTCTTCAGTTGTTACAATTTATGCCTCTAGCTTGCGCAAATAAGAACAATTAATAGTATTTCCAAACTGTTACATACCACTTATGATTTCGTGTCATATCGCCTGTAGTAGTTATAGATTGATGAGTAGATTTCCATTACTATTACTCAATTTCACTACGCTTTACATATTAGACTCATTTCATTATACTGTGCTTACGTACATTAATCGGTTGATTGATTTTATACTGACTAAACACGCGATTTATAGGTAAAGGCAGATATAAATACGGAAACGCGAGAACTATAAGTAATCATAAACCACACTAATTAGATATTTAAACACGAGAAGGACACAAATATTGGTCAGTTAAACACACACCACACGCCACAAGATTACGCGTGGTTGGCCACTGTACTTAGAAACAATTATTTTACCGCAGCAGAAATAATTTAGTCACGATTAAATTATAGCCCGAAATTATAGACCTTTTACCCAATCAGAGGTCGTGCTCCACATAATTTAACCGCGGATAAATTATTTTTACCGCGGTTAAATTATGTGGAGCAATGTCTCTGATTGTGTAAAGGGGCAATAATTTGACGGCGGTTCAGTAAAAATAACTAGTTCTGAGTATGATGGCTAACCACACACGAGGAGTACCTGCAATTTAAATACTAAAATAATAATGTATTTTAACCGGTTAAACCCAAAAAGTACATATTATTTAATGTTATTTAATTCGCAATGGCTACGCGTCCGGTCATCCATTACAAAGCTCAGCACAGATTTCCAAATCCACGTCACGATTAGGACACGCCCCCTTTCAAATCGTTGATTTTACTGGATTTAATTACTATTGCTTTAAAGCTAAGTAATATTATGGTAAAAACTTATTGTTGATTGTTTTTTACGGAAAAAATATAGTTGGGTTCACATAATAAATATATGACCGGACGTGTAGCCTGGGATCTTGGGGTCCGGTAAACGGACGTGTAGCCTGGGTGCTGGGCGTCCGGTAACCGGAAGCGTAGCCACGGGCTAGTTAATTCATGTTATGTAATATTAATACTAAAATAATCAGGGATTTTATCTGGTTATACTTAGGTATGGGATGTAAAGGTAAGTGAAACAATATAACAATAACATATTTCAACACGATAACAATTAATGAGAGAATCAAAGCTATTAATAATCCACGAGCAGTCCAGCAAACAGTAATAACATTCTTCAAACACAAGCACCATACGGTGGCATATATATCACGGGTTTTACCCGATTTGTCTGGTACATCATAACACTCTTTATATTATAGAATCAGTAGCTGGGTAATTATAAGCAGTTCATGTAATTTAAATACAACAATAATAACGTATTTTAGCTGGGTGATTATAAGAGGTTCATGTAATTTAAATGCTACAATAATAACGTATTTTAGCTGGGTGATTATAAGAGGTTCATGTAATTTAAATGCTACAATAATAACGTATTTTAGCTGGGTGATTATAAAAAGTTCATGTAATTTAAATGCTACAATAATAACATATTTTAGCTAAGTAAGTATAAGCAGCTCATGTAATTTAAATACAACAATAATAACGTATTTTATCTGGGTGATTATAAGCGGTTTATGTAATTTAAATGCTACAATAATAATGTGATTCAACTTGGCAAACCCAAGAAGTCCATGTAATTTAAATACTACCAATGATGAGGTAATTGAACCGGATAAACTCAAGAACTTAAAATAATACAGAGAATTTAATTGCAACAATATCGAAAAAAATTAACCGGGTAAACCCACGAAATACATGTAATTAAAATACTGCAGCAATAAGAGATTTCGACATGATAAAATAGGGATATCGAATAGTAACAAACAGCAACATGCTTCAAACACACGTACAAAACGGGTAGCATATATCACGGGTTATACTATATGTTCTTGGTAGGCCTACACCATAACACGTATGGCATAGAATCAGTGGTGAATAAAAACACATTTGCTTTTATTCAATTCTTATAGAATGATGGTAGAAATCAATAAGGGACAAACACTAAAACTACAAGTAATTTTAACCTGATTTGAATCGGACACATTTACGGAATGATAACGAAATATTAAGTAGTATTAATTAACAGATTGTTATTGATAAACCCTAAGCACAAAAATTGCCATCAACAAAAATGTTGTCAATTAAAACACTTCTGATAACAAATACAATATTCGACTGTAGTTTACTACTATAAGTTACTAGTTTACTATACTGTTCAATGATGATGATGATAATTATGATGCTGATGGTGATGATGATGACGATGATGACAATGACGACGATGACAATGACAACGATGATTCACAATAAAACCTGCCCAGTCACAAATTTGTAAACCGATTAATCACGAATTAATAATCTATTAAACTTTTCCTGCGTAAGTTTACTATAATTTTGTTATAATTGTATTTTGACAACAGCAAAATGTTATGTTAATGTAAATGTGTGCAATGATAGTACCAATAAGCAAAATCAACCAATAAGTAAATGTGTGCAATAAGATTAAATTTGACACTTTAGAAGATAACAATTATAATAAACTAAAATAAAATGTAGCAGGCCTAAAATCTCTCGTGTTGTTGTCTGCAGCCGAGGATGTCGATCATTTCCGCGTGACGCCCGAAGAATTCATCAGCAAGAAGATCACCAACAAACTACTGCAGCAGATCCAGGTACCGCCGACGCCATCTCATGGCGAAAATAACAAATAATCATACTGCAACATTGCAGTCTGAGTTGAAGATTTATTTTTTCGCATTTGCATGTTTGCGTTTACATGCTCATGTGCTAATTGATTGTAGTTAAAGATTGCTTGTGCTTGAAGTATTCTTTGAGTCACTTTCAGTCTCCACCAACCACGATCGTGAAAAACGCTATAATGGAAATATCGTCTTTTATGTACTCGTTTCTACGAAATACATTTGCAGTCGACGTGGTAACGATGCTTCGTGTAACGTGTGCGGTCGCCACACGTCACGGTACACACATTATTCGTCTGTGTTTGCTGTGGTTGCCGCGGTAACCGTGTGTTTGTCATCTGCAGTCGCTGTGGTTGCTGCGGTAACCGTGTGTTTGTCTTCTGCAGTCGAGGTGGTCGCCGTGGTAACCGTGTGTTTGTCGTCTGCGGTCGCTGCAGTTGCCATGGTAACCGTGTGTTTGTTTCGACCGCAGGATCCGTTGGTGCTTGCGAGTCACGCGTTGCCGGACTGGTGCGACGCGCTCACCAACAAGTGTCCCATGCTGTTCCCATTCGACACGAGACAACTCTTCTTCACGTGCACCGCCTACGGAACCTCGAGGTAGGTGACAGTCTATAACTGCTGATGTCAGGGGCACGGCGCCCGTCTATAACTGCTGATGTTGCACATGTTTAGGGTCACGCCATGTAATGCTGCTGTGACGTCATAATGTTATCTTGTTATAATTGTCATCTTGCTGTGAGACATTTATTTTTATTTTATTTTTCATTATGATTATCATGTGTCTGTATCACAAGTTTGTCGTCGTGGGAGCGGTCGCCGCGGTTACGATGTCATTGTTGTCGTTGTAATCAGTAGTGAATAAAAACAAACCATAAGTTATTTTAACATGATTTGAACTAGGTAAATTTGAGGAATTTGAATATAATTTAGGTACTATCATTTTTTCGATTGTTATTTATAAACCTTAAGCTCAGAATTGTAAATGGAAAAAATGCTGATGATATCGGATAAGGGATACAATAGTCATCATGCATAATCGACAATCGACAATTGACCACCACACTCACAATAGTCAGGGGTGTTAGGGCTAAAAAGGGGCCGTTTGGTTCACATTCTTCCAAAAGCACCAAATTTGGCCTAGATGTTGCCTATACCATACTTTTTCGATTTCTGGCGGGCGCCGGAATGGGCGCCCCCCGGGGCCGCCATATTGGCAAATTCAAGTATGGCCGCCACCAGGGTTGGGGGCAATCTAGTTAAACATCCAAAAGAGCTATAATCATAAATAATACCACTTTTTAGGGGTTTTCAAGGTCTGGGAATCTGATTCTGATCTTACTTCAGTGACTTGAGGTCAAGGTCACCCCTCAAGGTCACCCTAAAGGTCATTTTGGGGTCAAATATGTCATTTTTTAGTGTTTTTTGTCAATATATACAAACAGCACCTCATTTTATCAGTTTCCGGGGTTGAGTAACCCGAATCTGACCTTATTTGAACGATTTGAGGCAATATTGCATGTCAGGGTCACGATAGAGGTCACCCGACCGAGAGGTGAATCGTACGTCAATTATAGGTAAAAAACCAAAAGTGCTAGAATCAGACATAATACCACTTTTTAGGGATTTGTGGCCTCTGAGAATCCGATTCTGATATTCTTTATATGATTCGAAGTCAAGGTCGCCTATCAAGATCACCCTAACGGTCATTTTGGGGTCAAACCCAGTAACAGTACTGTCATTGTGGGGTACCCACCAACAGCCATCTCAAGGCCTTCACAACCCATGATGTGGATAATATAGATAGCAAGGCTCAGGGTAACTTTTTACTGTATGAGTTCCACGGATACGCCATGAGCGTGACCAACCATCTCTCGCACAAGAATCCTGGAGTGAAGCGGGCTCCCATCAAGCTTGACCCCTCCGACACGTCAACTCCAAAGCTACCAGACTCTTACACGATCCAACCCCCAGTCGAACTTACTCAAACATATGTCTTTGCACCCAGACTTTGCGACAGCAAAGTCAGAACAGACCTTTATGTGCGAGGTGCCAAGGTCAAGGATGAGGCGTGGATGGCGCATGTCACTAGGGTGCTGAAGCAAGGCACGATTGCAGAGGGCGACATCATTACATGGTCGGGATACAACTCGTTACTAGCCAGCGATGAGTTGGTGAGGCCCCCTGCCGAGATCGGCATCTATCCCCTTTTCCCAGACAAGGCTGCATCTACATCGTCAATGAAGCACGCGATGGAGCTGACGATACAAGGCACTAAGTTCCTCAACCCGGGCCAGACCAGTGTTCTTGGTGCAGATCAGCCACTATATGCTCTCATCAAACTCGTGCAATAGCAATTCCCCGACACGTTGGGAGAAGATAAGTTGGTTGTTGTGATGGGCGCTCTGCACATCAAAGACAAGATGCACCTTATGATAGGCAAGTTTCTGCGCGACTCGGGGTGGGCCACCATCCTTTTTCAGACCGAGGTCCTGACATCTCTGGTCGCGCACAGTCTTCACTTAATGAGCATCACATCAAGCGCACAGGGTATGCCCATCAAGTATCCCTCATGTCGCTTTACCTATTCAAGCAGACCGCTACTCGGAGTATTGCGAGAATGTAATGGGCCCACCTGAGTCATTCGATATGTGGAATCAACTTGTGTTTCCAAACTCTACCCCTGTTCAAGTTCTGGTCAACCGTAATCAACCTGGAGCTGCTGATGACTCGCTTTGTTCGGTCTCTGTCGGAGGGGGACTTTGCACTATATGTGCAAGCATGTGACGAACTCTGCGGATAGTTTCACGCCCTGGACCACACAGACTACGCGCGTTGGCTGCTTGTACATGTACGTGGCATGGTCCAGCTAGCCGAGAAACACTCTCAAGTACATGCTGAATTCACGAAGGGCAACTTTGTTGTGCAGAAATCAGCTAGAAGATTCAGCCTCATGGGAAAGGACCAAGCTAATGAACAGTCAAACAAAACATTTCAGACGCATAGCGGAGCAGTTGGACTCTATGAGAACCCCGATGCCCTTACACTGTTTATGCTGGCTGGACCTGACTGCGCACGGATAGTTGAGGAGTTCGAGGCCATCCACGACCCACCATCATCATCCACTGCTCATCATGAGGAAGAACACAGCTTGCAAGTCAAGTTTCGAAAGGATGTACTATCGTTCATCGAGGTGGTCGAGCAGCTAGGCAACCCTTTCCTCACTACAAGTCAGGAGCTTGTAGCACTCGATACACATAAAGTTATGGAACAGGCCGTCGCTAATTATCTATCTCAAATCCTTAAAGCTGGCCAAGCCCTTCATGCAGCATACGTCATTGAAAGGCTGGAAAAAGCTTCAGTACCGGTATCTGATACCATCAAACGAAACAACATGTTAACATTCGCCAACCGACCTGACCCCAAGAAAAAAGGCAAGAAGGACACTGGCATACAGAGGCAGAATATGACCTTAATCACGCAACTTTTCCTCTCACTTCAGTCGCGTCCCGATGCAGACATGACAGACTTCTTTCGGTTCGAAAATCAGAGAGAGCCACCAAGCCTGGCGGATCGAGGGTCGCTGCGATCTGGGACGAAGTCGGACATTCTTCAATGCCTCAATGCACCCACTGGCCGCACAGCTGCGGCCAAACAAGCCACGGTGGTGATGTTGGATATGGCAGCAGTAATCCACATGGTGCGCCCCACAACAGCAAAGACATTCAGCGAGTATGTGCCGCTTCACATTGTACCATTTATGGAGGCCCAAATGAAGAGTGGTACCCAACGCATCGACGCTGTATGGAATAATTACCCCGAGGAAAATAACCTCAAAGCTCTCACGCAGCTACGACGTGGGTAAGGCCCACGGACAAGAGTCGGCGATGGCAGCACTCAAATCCCGAAGCATGAATGGAACAGTGGCTTCCTAAAAAATAAGGAGAACAAAAAGGAGCTCTTCTCATTTATCAGCACACCGATCTCTAAGAACGACATGGGTTGAAAGCTCCTCTTGAGTACCCGTTTTGAGACCGTGCAAGAAGAATCTTACTGCATCTGGCACATGCCGCAGAGCAGGGTCATACAACAGCCTATGTTCGCACGGTGGACAGCGATTTCGTGGTTTTGGCAATCCGGTTTTTCAAGACCCTCGGCCTATCAGAGCTCTGGGTTGGGTTCGGTACTGGTAAAAAGTACCGTGACATTCCAGTCCATACCATCGGCTCCAATCTCGGTCCTTCAAAGTCCTTGGCACTACCCCTCTTCCTGAGCCTAACAGGATGTGACACGACTTCCCAGTTTCTTGGATGTGGCAAGAAGACCGCCTGTGCCGCCTGGACAAGCATGCCGGACCTCACCGACACACTAGTGGCTCTCACGCGCGACCCTGACCTCTTCAGTCTGGAGTCTGTGCATATGCAGCAAGTCGAACGCTTCGTGGTACTCATGTACAGCAAGGGGTGTGGTGCAGCCGGTGTCAATGAGGCCAGGCATCGCCTCTTCACCACTGGAAGCAGATCACTGGAAAATATTCCAACTACCCACGCAGCACTGTTCCAGCATGTAAAGCGAGCGTTACTACAGGCGAGTTTCTACTAGAGTCAGGCCACCTCGATCCAGCAGAAAATTCCTGACTTCAGTGAATGGGGATGGCACAAAGATGGCACCAGTACATGGCAACCACTATGAACCACTCTCAGCGACGCTTCAGTGGCATGTGCCATTCTCTTGCACTGCGGCTGCCTCAAGTCATGCACAGGAAGGTGCAAATGCAACCGCGCGGGTGTCCCATGTACGGCCCTTTGCAAATGCGAAAGTGGGTGCGTTAATAGCGAAGATGTCCAGTAGTACGTATTGCTGGCATCATATCGCGCATATTAAGCCAGAACGTATGAACATTGTTATATCACTTAATGTCAGCAGATGTCATATCGCGCAAGCCGGAACATATTGGTATATCGTTGCAAAAGTTGTCCTTGTATTGTAATTTGAACATTTAAGGGCATACAGCGGCACATAAAGCATATTGCATGTTTTTCGCTACAGCATAATGTGTAATCTCTGAATTACTTTAATAAAAATTGATTCCTGAATAATCTTTGTTTATTTTTTAGTAGTACACTGCTGAGCTTTGACATTTGACCCCAAAATGTGGTCACTATATGTCCTCAAATCACAAGGCAACAATCGACTGACGTTAGTTCACCACTGTTCAATGAAGATGATGATAATGATAATGATGATGATGATTATGATGATGATAATGATAATGATGATGATGATTATTATGATGATGATGATGATTATTATAATGATATGATGATGATGGTAATGATGATTATGATGACGATGATGACATTTAGTTTCTATGCGCAGATCAGAAGGGGTATCTGTCTCTCCGTGATTGTCTTAGAATTGTGCTTTTACACAGTTAGTCAGTAGAAAGGTGGAGCTGGAAGGGAAAGATGGAAAAAGGTAGGAAGGGAAAGTTAGAAGAAGGTAGGAAGAGAAAGATGGAAGACGGTAAGAAGGGAAGGAGGAAAGAGGAAGGACAAGAAGGAAGAAAGTGGGAAAGGAAGGAAGAAGTGAGGAAGAGAGGGA